CAATGCCATATCCATAGAAACAAGCAGGTGATGGGCCCTCCACCAGAAAAATGAAATGTACCTTTGAAGGCTTAAATAGCTTTTTACCATGCAATATTGTTGTCCCTTCATCAAATACATCCTGGAGTTGTTTTCCTTCACACCTGTTGCTTCATTCACGCTTTCATTAATCCAAAGTCTACTTAGGACTGAAAAATGCTCCATTCACATTTTGCCCAGATTGTTGCATCACAGGTAAAAATCTGGATTTCACCTACGCAGTTTTTAAGCCTATAAACTGTACTATATTAGCACAGCATTCATTGTGGCCTAAGGATGTTGTTTGTTTTCTTTCCCATTTTTCAATTTACTCTGTATTTCTGGTCTTATTTTGTTCTAGATTTAGGCTTAGTTGTTCTTAGTGTACTTTTAGACAGGGCCAAGTTGAGATATGCAGGCTGTTATAACTCCCCTTTTCCAGTAATACCTCTATGTCAAAGTGATTTTCCATGTCCCGGCACAGTGCAGACTCCAGCAAAGCTCAGTAAGTTGGGGTCCATCGATTGCCCATTTGAATAAAGCAGATGTGATGTCAGAACAGGGAGGCAGACTAATGGCTTTTGGCTACAGGAATCTGAGGGTTCGGCTCCAGTGTGATGCTGCATTGTAAATATGCAGGAAGAAGCAGTCATGTGATTATGATGTCAGCCAATGCGAGAGGGCTCCATTAGTTCAGATGATAAACCTTTTACAACACTTTCAGGAACCTACAGTGAAGCAACAATGCTAATTCATGATTTTATGTTTTAGTTACATTTGCAATCATTATAACACCGTACACCAATTAATCAGTTTTAAAATAGATTGGAATACACACATGTACAATAAATACCTTGGACTAAAGCCAAAACCAGCTCTGGCCAGAATCCAACTTCTCTCAGGCTTTCCAGTCATTGCTGTGTCTCAACAGTAGAAGCTGGAGATATGCTGAAAAGTTGATAGTACTGCAATTGTTGTTATAGAGATAAATAAAAAAGAGAATATAAAACAAAATAATAATAATACATCAGACTTATGTAGCACCTTTTGGGACACTCAAAGACGATTTACAAACAATAGTAATTTTAAGTTTTTATACATTTTCATGGAGATAATCAAAGAAATTATCAAGATATTAATTTAGTGTTTGCAGTTTGTTTTTTGTACATGCAACAAAAGCTTGAAATACTGCTAAAAATAAAGTATTAATTTACTTAAAATCGCCCACCAATACCCACCAGTGACAACGCGCATTAATATCAGTCATTAAATTTTCCATTGACATTGACCTTGCATGTTCTCTCAGTAGTCTGTTGGCCCAGTCTCCTCTCTTCATCAATCAGCCCTTGTTCCAGCCCCCCACAGCGCTGCAGTCTCCCTCTCCCCGTGCGCTCCTCCTGCCCCCAGAGAGCTTCAGGTTCCATTGGTATTCACTGTCACTGCCACCTACATACTACGCGAAACTCCATTCTTGTCCCCTCCATCATCGACTGCATACATCTCTGTGGTTCTCTGCTCGGACCCCCTCAGTCACGGCAGGCTCCGGTTCCCAGGTGGATAAAAGTGTCACATAATATGAAGTGACTGTAACACATAATAGCTGTCTGTCAAAAGGTAAACTGTAAAATCACCTTCTCACTGTGGCTCATTTGCCCTCAGGGAGCAGAGGGGAATTCGCCAAGTAATGAATGTAGACAGAAGAGTTGAGTGACATTTAACCTGTGAATGAACGCCTGCAGTGACATACTAATATGAGTGGCGTAGAGTTCAGTTAATGAAACTTAATTTTACAGTGAAAAACACAGATTTGACATGTGCTGCTATTAATGAGTGGCCTCTTTACATAGTGAATTTAGACTTGTTAGATCATGTCTGTCTGGATGAATGTTAAGATTGTTCTCAGACCTTTTCTTCTAAATAAAATAAAAATACAGTACATTTAACTGAGCTTTTGTAGACCAAGAAAAGCACAAGTCTATAATCAAAGGGCCGCGCGATATAGTAAAAACAATTTTCACAATCTTAATTTTGTCATGCAATACTGATGTCCAGAACAATACAGACTTTTAGTAATTTTCATACTTCCTTTGAGGTAAACAACCTTAAATTCAGCAGTAATAGCATTCGGTGTCTTAAATACTGTACTGCTTTTGTTGACGGTCACTCAGAGTAGACATCGATTTGTTTACAATCCAGAACAACCGATAGCCGATAAGTTCTGCAGATATTTTTGGTCTGATATGTAGGACCAATTTTGATTATTTTACCCGTATTATGTAATTTAAATTTACTACAACCTTTGAGTGAGTGGTTTAGTAATGTTTTGTGCAGTTATCTCTTTGTATTAAAGTGTTAAAATAAAGCTTTGTGTATTTTTTAGGCAGCAGATTGACCAAAACAAAATATCGGCCTATGCTGGAGATTTAAAAAGATCAAATATTACAACCAATATACTGGCCAACCTATCTCTAACTGAAAGTAATGCTAAAGTGGACTAATGTAAAGCTGCAACATCGATGATAACTCCGGAGTGGTTTCTCATCGTCGATTTGTTCCAGTAACAGCAGTCTGGCTTCAGTTGATCTCACCGCTGTCTCTCCTTCCATCTCTCTGTGGCTGTCATTGCAGAGTGCTGGCAGCTTTCCCGTTGCCATGCATGAACCACAACAATGGCCCCTTCTCTGTCGGAGTCCATCGCTGCCCGAGGAATGCCTGTTTAATAGTGCAATGCTTTGACAGTGCAAGCACAAAGTCTTGCCTACAAAACATACTTCATAGACTTCCACTTTTTTTTAGCTTAAAAGTTCTACATTACACAAAATTATGTTAAAATGTTGTTAACTTCATCAAAAACATACCTGGAGTTGTCTTTTGTTTCACAACTGTTTGAGCAATCTTGCATTATTATTCTATTTACATCTCCTAAGTTCAAAATTGTCTGCTCCACCTTGCGATGTCGTGTAGTAGTTGTTTTCAAGTTTACAGCTGCCTTTTACCCTTTGTTCAGAAGAGACTGGCAATTCCAGGGCTGACATTATCCAAAAGATTCAAGTAAAGGTGTATGGAGTTTAAAAACACAGTGGAGCACTTCCTGTATTACAACATGGAATCACAACATGGAATAGGAAACAACATTTGAACACAGATCAGAAAATAGGTTAAGATGGACCCTTTAACGCAGCACAAGGCCACCACATGTTACTGATGACAAAAGTTTTGTCTGACCCACTTTGACAGCTATTCTTAGAGATCTTTGTCTGCAGGTTTTATTTATTAGACTTGAGCCGAGAGAACCGCTTGGGAAAAGACTATAGCCTGGATCTATGGTGTTGTTTATGACTTCGGGAGCCTGGCATACAGTTACACACTCCATGGATAGCTATAATCAGTGGTCTTTGAAGTGTCACTAGATTGGTCTCGCTTTCCTTCAGTGGTCCTCTGTGTAGGCTTTTCAATAGGACAATGTCTGTGGAGTAAATCTTCCATGCAGCTACTCTGTTGCTGTGATGGCTCCCTACAGCTCATGTTGTTTTTAGCCAAAAGCCCTGGTAATTTACAGCATGTAGGCCCACGTTTTTATATCTTCACACTTAAAGATACATTGTGTAACTTTTCTGCTTTTTTTCTTTGAGCTATAAAACCACCTGTAATTTAATAAATGTTAGGCAGAGCTTTTTTGTGACAGACCCCCCAACCAAAAAGTTACACAGTGCACCTTTTAAAGCAAGAGAAATTTCGGTTCTAAATGGTTCCACAAGGGAATGGAGAAGAAAGGACTAAGCTAAATGAACCACCCACAAGTTTCTTTGTCCGTCCGTCAAAGTCTGAATACAGATAGATTCTGACATGGAGCTGCTTACCAGAAGGCCAGTTATTCTTTTTACTTTACTCCATGTCTCAAAATACAAATGTGCAAATGTGGCAGGGGATGCAATGTTTCTTCCAAATGATCTCTGGCTACTTTATGCGATTTGATTGATGATTTTGCATTTTGTTCATACTGTCTAGAAAATCATAATGAATTGAGTGCTGTGGTGTGCCAGGAGGTCTGCATCTGCTGGGACTGTCGATAACTCGGTCTAACAGTAGCCAACTGGTAACAGGCATGCATTTACAGGTGGATTTAACTGTAGCCTATATGTTCATTTATGCTTATTTTACAAGGAAAATAGGTTTAACAGGATTCATCTTTGGCAAATTTTGCAGTATCAGTGGGACAGTTGTAAAATCGTAGAAACCTTTTTTCTGTCATAATGCCTTAACCTTGACAAGCCATAATTCTTGTCATTGAAAGTGTTTCTTCATGTTGTCTTCATCAAGAGATCGGTCAGTATATTTTGTTCATGGCAGATGCTGTTTTCAATTGCTTTGAATCCAGAGCAACCGATGTCCATCAAGCTCTGCCGATGTTTTTGGGCCAATATTTATGAATGATTTTGATTTTTTTCACCAAATAATGTATAATTATTTTCACTTACAACAAACACACTGTCCCTTTTTTACTACAAATCTTCAAGAGGGCTACATGATCCCATTTTGAGCAGTTATTTATTTATATCAAGGAGTTCAAATGAAGCTTTGAGTGAACTCTTTAGGCAACAGATCAGTCAAAACAAAATATGAGCTTGTTCTGGTGATTTAAGGCTCATAACTGATATGATAAAAAATGAAAAATTTAGCTTCCATCTCTAGCTTCATCCAAAAGGAAAACTCATTTATGGTTGACTGGTTTCGGTTAATTATTGCTGCTCTCAGGCAAATTATGTAATCCTGTATTAGATTATTACAGCAAAATCAATAGGAAACTGTGTCTCAACCGTCCCACCCATCTTCCAAACTTAGTCTGGAGGAAGCTGACGTTGTATCTCTCTTCACTGACACATCACAGGAATGACACCAGACTGGTTGAGTGTTACCTCCGTGCTTTGCCACTTTGTTTCCAGTTTCTTACTCAGTACTTCTCTGTTTGCTCCCCGTACCAGCTCCCGTCCAAGCCCTGACCGTGGACCAGACCAGACCGGACCCTGAAGGGGAAAGCAGCCCCCCCACCACAGAAAACACCCCCAGGATGGAGACCCCAACTATGAAAGACCCCAGACTGGAGACACCTACCAAAGCAGATGTCATCTCCCAGTCTCCTCGGTCTCCTTCATCACCTGCGTCAAGATCTAAAAAAGGTAAGAGGTTTTGCAATATCTGGAATGCTTAAAGGAAAATCCACTAATGGAATCTGAAATGGAAGGAATGGTCTGGTAATGGTAGCTCTCCTGAGGCAACATGATGCTTGTGTATTGGAATAATAGTGAGTGCATGCTTTCAGAAGTGAGGCTAAATCCAATCAGTGTACAGTATTAGAACGTTAACTGCAATTTGAGAACCACATGGCAGTTGGCTTCAAGGTTTAAAGATAATTTGATATGTAATAAAATATGGTAAAGTAGTATAATAAGGCCTGTCACGATAAATACTATATTGATTTATCATTCAATATATGAAAGCTGGAAGAATCTTTTTTGAGTTTCAGTATTTGTCGTGGGAAATATTTTGTTATTTTTCTGTACTAGAATAATACAATTTGAGCTAAAGAGGGTTGAATAAATCACTTCTATCATTCATTCACGCATCTATCTAGCATTTATTCATCACTGTTTTTTCTATTGCTCAAAAAGTGTAAACCTCTCCACAGATCAGACCTGTAATGTAGCCTTTAGTTGTCTCCCTTGAGATAAAGAGGTTTAATCTCTGCTGTGGAACATTCTAGGCAAAGCAGTAACATGTCCATGGAGACAAGCGGGTGACAGATCATCCACCAAAAAAGTTGCACAATGCACCATTAAAAAAAATAAAATGTTATTGTGACAGTAGTAGTATGGCCTACTACTAGCCCTGTTATTATGTTTGTCCACAGTCAGACCCAATTATCTAACAATGGTATAACTAGCACATTTACCTAGGGAATTTCCTAAAATGCTTTTGACCTTGTATTGCCAGTATAACTCATGATTTCTCAATTTCATATTCAAAACTCAGCCAGTAAATCCTCACTTCAACATTGTGTTTTATGTACTTCAGTTGTCCAGGTACGTTCATATACCATGATTATATATCTTGTGACTTCAAGTCTGTTCAAATGTTGTAATATAGTCTTGCCTCTAAAATACTATTACCACCTGTCTTTGTCCTTTTAAAGGTCCTACATTACACAAAAATGGACTCCTGTGAGCTTTAAGCCATGTTATAATGCTGTTACCTCGTCAAGCACATACCCAGAGTTGTGCTTTTGTCATACATGAGTAACCCTTTATTATCAATCTGTCTACATCTCCAGCTGAAAATGCTGTTTTCCACAATGTGATGTCATGTAGTGGTAGTTTTAAAGTCAACAGCTACCTTTTACCTTTAGATCATTGCAGTTTCAGGGCTGAAATCACCCAAATGATTCTAGTCAAAGTGTATGAAGTTTTAAAACACAGTAGAGCATTTCCTGTGACATCACAAGGTGGAACAAAATGTTTTCTGTTCAAGAGATTAATTCCAGGCCGAATTATAGTTCTGCATTGACTCAACGCACACTGCCAACGTCACCTTGTCGCCATCGTTTTTTATTTATGGATTTGCTTCAAGGTCTGTGCACTGTGAAGTAATTCATCGCCACAACTGTAGAAGGCCAGGATTTAAAAATGGCGTTCGTGTATATGAAATGAAGTGGGAAAGCAGAGTACTGACTGGAAATGTACAGCCCTTATTGTCTGCATCGCTTTCTCTTGCTGTCAGCGTCGGTTCGACGCATAGTTACAACGTTTCTGAGGTGCACACCAGTCAACACAGATACCCTTCCCAAAGAGCACCACTGAGTTTGATCTACTGTGTATTATCCTCTGGAGGTCCAGGAAGCGCTTCTTCTGAAACATTTTTTACAGATACTCTTCAAGTTCAAGGTGACGCAGACTCTCTACGTCGTGACGCAGACGAGTTGATACATAACCATAAATTGGGCTTCAGCCTAAATATGCAGGGTTTGTGTCTTAAACATGTGTGAATAAAACAAAACAAAACAACAAAGTATGTTTCTGAGGAGATAAGATGCAATATTATAGCAGATCAGAAACTAGTGTAATATGGGCCCTTTAAGTTCTCTCACGTTAGGGTCATAATACAGGCGTTTTGTACGCCCAAGAGAGTCCTGATGAATAAAAGAGCACTTAAAGAGCTAGATCAATAATTAAGATGGCACTGCTGGAAAGGAGGAAAAGACTATCTGCTTTTGGCAATATTTCCCCCACATATTGCCAAGAATCAAGGACTTGGTGCAAAATAGTTTCACTATTGGAAAAGTTCACTGTTCACTGCGAGTAGCTGGCTCACAGCTACATCAAAACACAAACACATTGGGCATGCTAGATTAAAGGTGCACTATGTAACTTCTAAAGTGGATTGTCTGCTATTTGTTTTTCTCCAGGGAGATGTTATTTCTTTGCCTTGGAAGATTCCATACTAAATGTTGTTCAGCTTGGCTGAATTTGTTCAGTTGCATATGTTTTATAGCTCAAAAATACCTTAAAAAAAATTCATACCATGTGCAGGCTTGCTTCTCCATAGATCTGACCTTAACCTGTCTCCATTGTGATTATCAAGTTTATTCCAATACTGTGAAATAATCAGGGTAAAATAGTAATGTCTCCAGGGAGATGAGCAGGTTGTTGACCCTCCACCAGAAAAGATACACAGTGTACCTTTTAAGAAGAGACATGAACAAAAGTTATATATATTTTAATTTCACATAACCAATCACATGGACAAAATATTTACATTATTCTAAAATATTTCTTTGCTGAGAACAAAGTTGTAAGGACAGGGGATGCTCTCGGTGAGTTATCCATTTTCATGTAATAATAATATTAATATTAATAATATTAATATTAATATTAATAATAATAATAATAATAATAATAATAATAATAATAATAATAATAATAATAATAATAATAATCATTTTATTTATATAGCACTTTTCAGGACACTCAAAGACACTTTACAGAACCAATATTAGAACAGTGAAACATTAAAAGCTATTCTGAATAGTGTTATGTTAACTTGTCTATGAAGCACTGTGAGGCAGCTGCTATTATAATTTTGGGCTATACAAAACAACTTGAGCATGAAAATACCAAAACATACCATTAACCATAAATAATACAGGATTTGTCATGATATTCTTCATGCAGACATTTAAAATCACATCTAAAAATACTCTATGTGCTATAAATATTAAATACAGGTTACTCTCTGGCAGACTAAAAGACAGAGCTTCTCTATCTATTATTCATACATACTTTAAATAGACGTGTTTGAGCACAGTAAGACTGGCCATACTGATATTGATATTGACATGATAATCCACTTTATATTATATACTGTATATACTTATGCCAGTGTAGGTCTCTCCTTTTAACAACATGAGTTCAAGAATGTAGAAGATTCATGTCAGTTGTAGTTTCAGTGTTTACATGCATTCCTCTAACTCTGGGGTGCCTATCTGTCTACTCCTCTGAGGTCTAAAAAGGGAACACATTATGAGAGCAAAAAAAGGATTAAAAAAGAGAGAGAAATATGTGGATATATGTATGGAAGAACATCATATTCTAGTTTATTTCTGACAGTCAACCATGCACCACAACCAGATGGTGGAGCAAAATGAGAGCCACATGCTGCAGGTTTGAAGAAAACTCACAGGGTGCTTTTTGGACATAAACAGTGCAAATACTGTTTGTTTCCTGTCATTGTTGTATGGCATGCCCTGTGCAGCCCCTTTTGTGGAAGTTGAAAGCCACCTCTGCACTGGCTTAGACTAAATAATTATGCAATCACAGACATGATCTGAGATCATTGTCAAATGTGAAGTCAATACTGAACAAATGAGACAATGCAAGAATAAGAAATTGTTTCAGCAGCTGCAAAAACAAAAATACGTTTAGATTTTCATGGTTTTGTTTATTATTACATTTTTAAGCAAATAATATTACACTGTGATAAGATGTAATGTGGTGGTCAGTTATATTTCTTTGTATTGATTTGTTTGAAAATAAATACAAGTTCTGTCTAACTTTGTTTTTTGTTTGAAATGAATGACGTCTGTTCTCTTCCATGTTTTTTCAGACATCATGAAGTCAGAGGAGAGGCAGAAGCTTGCCAAGGAGAGAAGAGATGAGAAGGCCAAATATTTGGGTAAGCAGTGGAAGAAAAATGGCTTGAGCGCTCCCCCTGCTGTTAGGGTGTAGTTTCACATGCATATGGCTCTCAGATGGCCTGCACAGACTATGAAAGATACATTTGCAGTACAGACTGTTTAACAATAATGTCAATAATGGTGTTTGTGGAATGATGCCTTAGCTCACAATCTTTAACCCTTGTATGTGAGTGTCACTAAAAGATCACATGAAGATGGCGTTGCACGAATCCTTATTGTTACAAAGCACAAGGCTGGTTCACTCTGTTATGGCTAAAACACTTGGTTTGCTGCTTTGCATGATTGACAGCTGCTTTTGTCTTTTCTCTCACTCCTTCCCTCCACAGAAGAGCTTGGCAAGTTACAAGGTAAGAAACAGACCTCAGTGCATGTGGTGTTGGTGATGGTCAAGGGCCTTTTCAAACATTCTCAATGGTTTTAACTTATGTTATATACAATTCTCTAGCTTGCAAGTTTTTTCTATGATCCAGATAACATGCTCTTTATGTTATTTCAAAAGACACTTTTTAGGGCTCTTATTGGTTCAGTTGTTTAGTGCATATTATAACAATAAAAGGCCCATATTACTCTATTTTCTGATCTATGTTATAATGCTATTTCCTCATCACAAACATGGAGTTTGTTTTGTTTAATTCACACGTTTAACACACAAACCTGCATATTTAGGTAGTGTTCTTCTCTCAAACACAAAACACTCTGTTTCGTGTGTTAATCCACTGTGCTTTTATACTCCATATACCTTCATTAGAGTCATTTGGATAATTTCAGTCCTGGAATTGCCAGTTGTCACTGAACTAATGGTAAAAGGTAGCTGTCAACATAAAAATGACCACTACATGACATCATAATGTGGAACAGAGCATTTTGAGCTTTGGAGGTATAGACAGACTAATAATAAAGGATTACCCAAACATGTGTGAATGAAACAAAACACAACTCCAAGTATGCCTTTGATGAGGTAACAATATTCTAACATGGCTAAAAATTCTGTACATTTTGCTTAATATGGGACTTTTAACATTTTGTTACACAATTCCTACAGTTTCCACTTTGACCATATATTGCTTTAATACATAATACCACAATCAATGGAGAAGCATTTTTGTATGGATTAACCACTTATCCCAAGATTATGAGTATAAAAATAATACAATAGGCAATGCTTTATAAATAGACTTGTCAGCACTGCCCTGAGCATGACCTAGCTTTTACTTCAGATGTCAGTACACTTAAGGTTTCTGTAGATGACATGTTTGGACCACAAGGGACCACAAAGCCAAGAGAACTATAATCTGAAAATCGACTGACATGCAATTTTATCACAACAGAAATCTACTAATCTACTAAATCTCCACTAGCAAATTCTTTTCTAATCTATAGTTTAAAGGGCTTATATTACGCTATTTTCTGATCTATGTTATAATGTTGATTGTTCATCAAAAACATACCCGGAGTTGTGTTTTGTTTCATTCACACATGTTAACACACAAATCCTGCATCTTTAGGCTGAGCTCTTCTCTTCAACAGAAAACACTCCACCTTGTGATGTCATGTGGTAATACAGGTAATAAAGTTTTTAAACACCACACAACTTCACTATAATCATTTGGATAATTTCAGTCCTACAATTGCCGATCTCTACTGAACAAAAAGTAAAAGGTAGCAGCTAACTTGAAAACCACTACCTCATGACACCACAAGTTGGAACACAGCATTTCGAGCTCTGCAGATGTTGACACACTAATAATAAAGGATGTGTGAATGAAACAAAACACAACTCCAGGTATGTTTTTGATGAGGTAACAGCATTCTATCATTATTAAAAGCAAAATTTTGCATAATATAAAACCTTTAATATGAATAAATCTTACATTATATATACATTATACAATACAAATGAGTGATATAACTGCTATAGTGTGTGATCAGAGTAAGATTTTTTGCACACTTGATCCAGCGAAATAATTTTAATTGGGTTAGCCAGATGGTCTGGGGTCGATCTAATACTCTCTTAGACTTTGATGTAAGATAAAAGCCTTCTTAATCTCATGTTTATAAAATCAGCTTGAAAGAGCCAGGAAGGCATGGATTATTAACCTTTAGTATGGGCATTACTAGTTTAGTTTTACTAGTGGCATGAGAAGAAAATCTGTATCCCACCAGAGTTATGGTAGATTTACTGCAAGTGAAGCATTTGAATTGGCATATGAAGAAAAGCTGAAGTACTATGAATACTTTATGGACCAGTGCTGGAAATGCCCTCTGCCAATGACTATAAAACATGGTTAGGTTTACTGCCTGTAGTACATTAAAGGTCCTATAATATGCAAAACTGACTATTGAAAGCTTTTAGCCATAATATGGTTATAATGTTGTTATCTCATCAAAAACAAACCCAGAGTTGTGTTTTGTTTCATTCACACATGTTCGAGTAATCCTGAATTATTTGTCTGTCTATATTTCGAAAGTTAAAAATGCTCTGGTCCACCTTGTGATGTCGTGAAGTGGTAGTTTTCAAGTTACCAACTACCTTTTACGTTTTGTTCAGTAAATACTACCAATTCTAGGGCTGAAATTATCCAAATGATTCTAGTGAAGGTGTATGGAGTTTTAAAAATCCAGTGAAGCACTTTCTGTATTACCACATGACGTAAGGTGGAACAGTTTTCTGTTTGAGAGAAGTGCACAGTCTAAATATGCAGGGTCTGTGTGTTTAACATGCTCGAATGATACAAAACCGAACTCCAGGTATGTTTTGATGAGGACTCAATAATGTAATATGTTATTGTGTAATTGTGTAATATGGGCCCTTTAACAGTCACAGTGGTGGGGCTAGTTTCAAACGAGACAATAATGCATGATTATCATATTATTTACTACTGTATATAAAGAAGTCACAAATAAAATTAGTAAATTATAATGGATTAGTATCTGAATTAAAATTAAATCTAGATTATCAAGGAAATCCCTCACAATCCTTTTAATCGTTGCATTGTACCTCTTGTATATATGTAGTAGAGAGGTAATCTTGTACTGATATCAGCACCAATACTGAAAAATTTACTATTAATATTGGCTTCCAAACATCAGTTCATCTGATATTCTGGATGGACATGTATATGGATGTTATAAGAATATTTACTAGTCATAGCTGGCTCAGAAAATCTCATAATATTATTTCTTTTCTACACAAGAGATAAATAACAGCTACATAACACATTTGGATCTGTGAAACATTCAGACAAAACAATAACAACTGCATGGAGAAAAGCATTTGACGGACCCACCACCATGAAAATTACACAATGCACCAAACAAACAAACTTGAAACTTGAAGCTTTGTTACTGAAACAATAAAGATGATTCTCTTAAAGGGCCACGGTGCAGGGATGAACTGGGGTATGCCGCTCTCTGCAGTTCCTATTATCTTTGCCGCATGGTGTTGGCAGGCGGCTCTTTGGTATAACTCAGCTTTTGGTCTCCCCCCTAAATAAAACCGAGGTGAACTATGAGCCTCAATAAATCTGTAGCCCAGCGTCTGCAGCAGCCTGTCACCACCAACTGAGACCGATCGCTTTTGTTGTAGCAAGGGCTTTAGAATACAAATGCCGCTCCCTCTACAGACCAATTTTTCATGGAGGTTTAATGTGCTTTAGAAAATATGAGTCGGTACAGGGAGGCAGCTGCAGAGGGTACCTTTATGTCCAGGCTTGTACTCAAGGCTCAACTAAAAACTTTAACTTAAAGGTCCTATATTACACTAAATTGACTCTTGTGAGCTTCAAACCATGTTAGAATGTTGTTACCTCATCAAAAACCTGCCTGGAGTTTTGTTTCATGTTTGTGGTGAGGATATAGTGTAATATGGGCCCTTTAATCACATAATAGATGCTAACTTTTGTATAGTAGGTAGGCCTTTACCAAATGTTAATCCTTGTTTTTGTCAGTAAATTGAAAGATGTTGATGTACTGTACATCTTTTTTGTCAGCGTCTAAAAAGAACCAGTGGTTGGAGAAAGAAGAAAAGGCAAAGCAGCTGAGGGATCAACAGTTGGAGGAGCGCCGTCGAAAGTTGGAGGAGCAGAGACTGAAGGCGGAGAAGCGACGTGCAGCCCTGGAGGAGCGCCAGAAACAAAAACTGGAGAAGAATAAAGTAAGAAGTTATAATAAAAGGTGTTTAAAGGTGCATTATGTAACTTTTCTGGTTATGTAACTTGTAAAGTAGTTGGCATCCATATTTGAAGTGATTCATGTTTGAATCATTTTATTTAATAAGATTTTTACTATTTATTAATGGGAAACACTGTCTCTATGGAGATGTTTTTGCTGTGCTAGAAACCTTAAAGTTGACCTTAAAGTCATCTATTTCCATGGAGACAACCAGGTGACGCAATCAGGCCAAGTCAGGTCAATTCTGTGAGAGGTGAGACTGTACTCACAAGAAATCATGAATGTTTTTCAAGTTTTCTTTTGAGCAATAAAACAACTGTTACTGAAGTGGAACATAGATAAGTTTAATGCCATATAATTTTTTATTATATTGTATTTATTGTATCTTTTCATGGAAAGCATTAATTTCTCCATTGTGGCAGATTCCCACCAGAAAAGTTGCATAGTCACTGTGTACTACTTCTGCTACTACTACTACTACTACTTCTGCTACTCTGTACTACTTCTGAAGGAAGTCCGTCACCTGTTTTTCTACATGGAGATGTTAATGTTTTGGTTTAAAGTGTCCACAATATGGCATTAATCTAATCTGTCTTGCATTTATTCAACTACAGGAGTTATTTATTGCTCAAAAAATATCTTAAAAACATCCGTACTTACTGTGAGTGGGGATCACCTCTCCACAGATCTAACCTATAAATTGGCTTGCAAGTCTCCATGGAGATTCATAAGTTTATGGCCATACTGTGGAACATTCTAGGCACATCTCCATGGATACAAGCAGGTGACGAACCCAGCAACGGACAAGTTACACAGTGCACCTTTAATGTCAAATTGTCTTCATAATTGCTTTGAGTAAACTGATGTAGAGACAGTGCATGTATCCTCCCCTCCCCTTGATCCCTCTGTATATTTTTGCATTGTAACCTGTCATCTCACATAAGTCATTCTATTCTCCTAAAGGAACGCTATGAAGCCGCCATCAACAGGTCCGGGAAGAGGACATGGGCAGAAATCAGGCAGCAAAGATGGTCCTGGGCCGGAGCGCTGAGCCAAAACTCAAGTCAGAAAGAAAGTGAGTGCAAATGGATATAGAGATAACATAGATAACATAAACCAATGGTTCTCAAAACCTTTCCCATCAAGTACAACCAGATCTAAACCATGTCTAAGAAGGATTATTGTAGGTATACACTACGGCTGAGCCAGGACTGAAAAAGGACGACACGTGTTATATACAGTATACTACTTCTAAACACGGTCTAAATCAAAGGAAAACAGAAATGTAGACTTACAGATAGAGAATTGTGGAGGCATCTGGTTTGGTATTCACTAACTACAGGGTCACAACTTCCACTTTATTTCTGTCAGTTTGCAAGAATCCTGTGTAGAAATATGAAAGCAAACTTATACTAAAATATAAACACAAAAGCTTAATTTGTTTCGTCTAGGTGTTGTAGAAACAAATAGAGCTTACAGTGTTAATGTAAGCTCTCAGATACAACAAGTGTGGTAATTAAAATAAAGTAGGCTAAATTCTGTTGATACTTTACAGTGACGTCACTCTGGGGGTGTTCTACATGTGTATCTATTGGCGGAAGGTTTAGCAGTTCCCATGGTGACACAATGCACAATGCAATGCAAATGCGCAAAACACGCCAAAAATGTTTTAATATAGTCTCAAGTCTCACCCAAGAAAAAATACAAAATTTAACAGAATTAAACAGCACATTTTTAGATCAATATGAGCACCCATGGCCCTATTTAGGTGTTTGATTTTCAACAAAAAAGATGAGAGTGACTAACTGAAAAACTGAGAGACTTGTTTAAGTGCACAAATCATCTCATCTGTAGTTCCAATGAACTCAGCTCTTTCTTGTCACATTCGGTTAAATTAAAGCTCAGATTAAGTATAACTTGAGTAACAAAGCTTCTAACGGAGCAGTGCTTCCAGTTAGCATCACATCCCCAGGAGCTGTTAATGACATCAGCTGCAAAGTATCAACTGACAGCGGCCCAAAATGACAACAACATTCCCACTAGACACAGGATCTATTGCGCTTGTTATCACTATGGCCTATCAGATCTGTTACCCATGTATTAGAATGGTTATTTGTCTTGACATGGCAGCCCTATGATTAAGTCTCTCTCTGCTATTACTGCCAGTGGAGCACAGAGCAGGGCACAGTGGCGATACATGCCTGCTTCAGTTGCTGTAAGCTGCTGTCTTGGCATCTTGGCGCTGTTAAACGTGGTTAGTCTCATCTTGTGCCACATAATCGCCTGTACCATATGCCAGGGGAATTATTGACACTCAAAGCAATCTGCGCCCCACCCCCTCTGCCCCTAGAACGCTGTCCTTCCATAGTGTAATGGGTAAGCACAGTGTATTGGAAAGAACATTTTCTAAGAAGAGTTCAAAGTCTTCTTTTAAGTGACTCATTGGACAATGTTAAAGGCCCCATATTACACTATTTTCTGATCTATGTTATAATGTTGTTTCCTCATCACAAACATACTTGGAGTTGTGTTTTATTTCAGTCACACATGTTTAACACAAATTCTACATATTTAGACTGAGTTCTTATCTCAAACAGAAAACACTGTTCCACCTTGTGATGTCACTAGAAGCCTTTGGATCATTTCAGCCCTGGAATTGCCCATCTCTACTGAATTAAAGCTGTTATCTTGATAAACTATCGCTTCATGAGGTAGAATAGAGCATTTTGATCTTTGGAGAAGAACCGATTAATAATAAAGAATTACTCAAACATGTGTGACTGAAACAAAAGACAACTCCAGGTATATTTTTGAGGAGGTAACATCAATAAATGACTTAAAACTCACAAGAGTCAGTTTGCATAATATTGGACCTTTAAGTTTACTGTAGGACAAGATTATTGTATACTTCTTGTGGGGACAGTACAAAATCTAGCCAGAAGATGGCGTTAGTTTTACTGTGGAGAATCTGTATTTGGGTTTTTCTCAGATATTTGAAAATTAATTTCTATTATTTACCTGTTTGATGTTGCTTAGACAGTTCTGCTTATAAAACACATAATAGAGATTAGTATGTAAACTGAACTGGACTGATGCTGGTATAACGTAAGTGATTATTATAAGATTTTAATAACTGTGTAACTAGTCATATACCTCATTAAAATAGCTTTCACATATTTTTTTGGTTTGTAGTATAGTAAAGGGGTCTTCATTTCCATTTTCCAGGTGGCAGATTTATTTGAGCCCTTTGTTCTGGACTATGATTTATCGCCAAATGTGTCTGTTCTGTTTTGGTTGATTTCATTTATTTTGAGCAGATTAATGAACACAAATAGTAAATATACATGTATCCAGTACACTTATAGGTGCACTGTGTAACTTTTGTGGTGGAGGATCTACCACCTGCTTGTCTCCATGGAGATATTACAGTTCTGCCATGGATTATTCCACAGTATGGAAATAAACTTGGTAATCACATTGGAGACAGGTTAATGGTTAGATATATGGAGAAGCAAGCCTGTCTATGGTAAGAATTCATGTTTTAAGGCATTTATGAGCTATAAAACTAATGTAATTGAACAAATGCAAGGGATATAGGGATATAGGTTTAATGACATATTGAACTTTTCAAAGCAAACAAGTAGTGCGGGTAGTAGCTGCAAGTAGCTGCTTTGTCTGGAAAATTTCACAGTTTGGTATTAAACCTTACTATCTTCATGGAGTCTAAATAATCTGACCAAGTTACAGGTCAAATTTGTGGAGAAGCTACCCCACTTAGTCTGTTTTGTAGGTATTTTTGAGCTATAAAGCTACCTATAATTTAATAAATGTAAGGTAGAGCTGTCTAATGTCATACTGCAGAACATTCCAGGCAGAGCAATGACATATCCATAGAAACAAGCATGTGAAAAAGTTACATAGTGCACCTTTAAGCTCAAAATGGAGTTAGAAGTAGAAAAGATTGATGTTTTGCAGCATATTGTTAGAACTGGAGTCATTTGAGCATGACTCGTGAACCACAGCAGTTCCCTTTCCTGTCTTTGCCCTTGTGTGACATGTATAAACATGTGTGTGGCGCTTTCTTGGCTTTTTAGGCAGATGTTCAGTGTCCACGGTCAACCTACCCAAACACGTGGACTCACTCACTATAAACAAGCGCCTCTCCAAGTCCTCAGCCACTCTCTGGAACTCCCCCAGCAGAAGTAAGCCACATGTGGACAGCCCTGCCTCAAAATGTCCTTCACTCTCCCAATCCAGGAACTTGTCTTTATGAGTTGTCCCCTTCTTTTCATATTTCATTTCCTCTTTTATGCCTGGTGATGGAAATCTTGTTTTTCATATTTCAAATACACTGTGACATTGTGCTCGGATTGTAATGTAATTTGCATGGGTATGTTTTAAGTTCTGTGCACTTTTCACACATTTCATTTGTGGTGATGCCATTTTCTCATTGTCTGGTATGTTCCTATATCTAAATACATGGGTCTCCTTTCTTCATGAATGTTGATGTTCTTTATTTTAGGATTTGAGCTTGTCTTTGGATCTCTGTTGGGGTCTTGCATACATTTCAGTGTTTCCCATGGATTTTAAGACTGGTGGCACAATATATAATTTGTATTTGAAGAATTAAATCTTTTTTCATCAATGTGTAGATTAAAAATGTCACTTACTCCCAGTATTAAATTTTTAAGCAGTCATTTTCAGCAATGTAGTCTCTTTTATAAGTTTATGTTGATAAAATGAGCAACAAAGTCTAATTTTGTTATGCCAATGTCTACCCCAGTTGATTTTAGACTACGGGGGCTCATTTTAGACTATGCATTGCCACCATAGTCTCTTGTATTAATGAGAAACACTACATTTTAACCAGGTTGTGAGTTTTTGCCAGACAATACAATAAATAGTGAGTGAGTCAGCATTTTTTCCACATTAAGATTCAGAAAACGTTTTGCATCAGGTCCAAGGTTTTGGTGTGATCTCCAGGGGAAATCAGTTTAGCAACAGTAAAATGTAAAATGTCCACACATGGCTTGGAACAGTTAAGTAAATCATTAAAAAGAGATCAGCAACAGATCAGTATCCAGATGTTGTGCACAATCTTTCTTTTTTTTCAATTTGTCTTCAACAGTTTTAACATCCAGTCTGGTCTTTTATTATATTAAATAATCTTTGCTTGTTTAGAAGTTAATGCTTCCTTTTTGTTGCCAGATCGTAGCCTTGCACTAAGTCCCTGGGAGAGCAGTATTGTGGACCGCCTCATGACCCCCACTCTGTCTTTCCTTGCTCGAAGTCGCAGTGCAGCCAGTGTCCTGAGCAGCTCCAAAGATGGACGTGAGTTTAAACAGAAAACCCCAATGAAGTGTGACGTTTGTGATCTTTGTGTTATTCATAGGTCTGTCACTATAATTACTATTTCGACTTATTGGTAAGTATATGAAAGCTAAATTAATATTTGTTTGGGTCAGTATTTATCGTGTATACATTTTCTTTACACTACTAGGAAATTTGTGGTTATTTATACGATAAGATGTAGGTGCACTATTCAACATTTTTGGTTGGGGGTCTGTCACCTGCTTGTGTCTATGGATGTGCTATTGCTCTGTCTGGAATGTTCCACAGTATGACATTAAACAACTGCTTTACATTTATTAAATTACATGTGGTTTTATTTCTCAAAAATACCCAGAAAAAAGGCATTCATGAAGATAGAAAAGTTTAATGCCAGTCAATGAAACATTTAAACAAAGCAATAACATTTCCATGGAAAAAAAGCATTTGACAGACCCTCTACTAGAAAAGTTACACAATGCAATATTTATACAATATACAAAACCATTTCTAGAAAACCACCTGCATTTTCATTAGTGTAAGGTAGAGCTGTTTTATGTAATTATAGCCAGAACAATGATATATGTGTAGAAACAAGCAGGTGACAGACCCCCAACCATAAAAGTTACATAATGCACCTTTAACAAGTGACTCTTGCAAAGTAAAACTGTTTCTCTCTCAAAGTAATACATTTGACAACAGCTTAGACATGTTTTGATGTCTCTAACTAACTACCTAACAAAGCCATGTTTCTATGACAGAATTTTTTATAATGTCCTTGTGTCTCCTTCTCAGACTCTCTTCTGTGTCCTCGCTCGTCTTCGGCCAGTCCCATGACCCTTTGCTCCCACCAGCCCCACCACCGCTGCTCTGAACGCTGGAGGATCACATCCAGCACCCCCGATATTCTACAGACACAGCGCAGACGCAGCTCCACTCCCGTACGCCACTCAGAAGTGTTCTTTCTTTCTCCTTTCTATTCATTTTATTTATTTTATTTTATTTGAGCATAATTTTCCATACATAACAGTAAGTGCTTTGCTATTTAAGGACATAGCTGAGGTGCTCAAAATGAGAAGGCAGAAGAACCTATATTTTTCTACCCTGTATTCCATGTGTCTGTAGAATTTTATTACAATTTAGAATACTACTATCAGAGTATTCTATTGTTCTGTTTGATATTTTAAGAGCTCATGCCAGTGTCTTTTACATTCTACAGATGGATAAAAACAGAAAAGAGAAGAAGGACAAGGAGCTGGAGAAATGAGAAGGAGAAAAGTGCTCTCAGTAAAGAAAAACTTCTGAAGAAAAGACAGTCTTTGCCCAGCATGAGACACAGGCCAGACCCAAGGTAAATAAGATTCACTCACAAACACACAGCTTTGACCTAATGTGTCCTTTAGTTAGAGTCAGACTGCACTTCCAGAGCCTGAGGTCAGAGATTACATCACTCTTGGAGTGAAAAAAGACTCAGGAAGAAAAGGTTATAAGAGCTCAGTAGAGTTCTCTCTGCTGGAGGCAAATGAGAACAAAAAGCATCTTCTTTTTATGACACAGAGACCGACCAATGGTGCTCTTCACAGATGATGTCATGCTTTTAGTGCGGGGTCTGATGTGAACCTAGTGGAATTGGTCACGTTTTCTTAGAATGAACTGTACGTCTTGTCTCTCAGGCTGTCATGTGCCGCTTGTCCTGATGCATTAGAGATGTTCTGTCTGAGGTTTTGTCCTTTTTTGTATTCATATGTATTTATTAAAGGGGCAATGCAAATTAAAAGACAAGGAAATGCAAAAGAAAAAAATACACATACTTGTAAATATGCAGGATTGTAGTCAAATCTAATTTCCATCCTAAGTCCCCTGGACCAAGGCCAGCCACATAGCCTGCACAATTCATAAAACATGACAAGAGATAAAATAGCAGCTTACAACATTCAATCATCAGTCAAACTTTATTTATAGACCTCTTTACAACACTCAAGGTGACCAAAGTGCTTCACATTTAAATCACCACAATATAAAAACATGAAATAAAACACATTGTGCAATATGTCACTACATTATGGAGTGTTAAAAGCCAGTCTGAATAGATAAAGTTGAAATATGTATATATACATATTGAGTTCTCTCCCTGTTATAGTCCCAGTCCTTTATCCAGACAGAGGCCTTCATCTCCAGCCACATCCAGAGGCAGACCGGCCTCCCCCAGCCCCACTTCTTCAGCAAAGGGAAGTCCATCTACTCCCAAGAGCCGGCCAAAGAGAGCCAGGACTCCTGCAAGACTAGACCCCCGCACCTCATCCCCTGCCCCCCTCCAGAGAGTCAGAGAGCCCAAGAGAGCTGCTACACCAGAGAGAAGAGGTTGGTAACAAGATGTTTTCAAATATCACAGAATACACTGATTCCCTAAAATCTTTTAAGGTAAGTTTTTTTCAGACTTAGTGGCCTGTCCGATGCTTTTCTACATGCATTGCTTTATCGGGAATGTTCCATATTATGGTATTAAACCTTTCTATTTTCATGGAGACCAAACCAGACCATGTTACAGGACAGATCTGTGGAGAGGCGACCCCGCTCATATTCAGAATGCCTGTTTTTCTAGATATTTTTGAGCTATAAAACCACCTGTAATTGAATAAACGTAAGGTAGATCTGTTCAATGTCATACTGTGGAACATTCCAGGCAGAGCACTGACATATTCGTAGAAACAAGTAGGTGACGGACCCTCCACCAAGAAGTGACACACAAAATAGTGCACCTTTTAACAAGGTGTTAAAGCAGTGCCAACCACACAGAGCATACCTGTAGATTCTCTTAAAGAGAATCACACTTTATTTTAATTATAATTATCACATTATCGTGACATATTTATTCCATTCCAAGACTTTTTACAATTTAGCCATTTTAATAATATATTATTTAACCTGATCCAGGCTCTCCAGTTGCTCCTCCAGTATCTTCAGCTGCTTCCACTCCTCCACGGTTAAGTACCCCAGTGTCCTCCTCACCTGAGCAGACCCAGCCTTCCCGCACAGCTACTGCCTCTCCTGCCCCGGCTGCTCCTTCTCCTACCCCCTCCACTAAACCCATGGCGGGCACCAACAACCCAGAGGAAGCTGCTCGTATCCTGGCTGAGAAGAGACGCCAAGCCCGCGAGCAGAGGGAGAGAGAGGAGCAGGAGCGGCGCAAGCAAGAGGAGAAAGAAAGGTGTGTGAAGGCAATAACAGTGTGTCTGTAGGTTAGACTATTATATTTACCATTGTTGCAAAAACATTCACACTTGTTTCCCTAGTTTGGCCATTTTTAGGTTTAAAATTTTACTTCCTGGTTGGAAATCATGACATCGAGCTAGGGAATTCTATAACTGTTACCAAGCAAAACTCATATAATGTACGCAGAAATTATTATCTGACAAATACACATATAACAAAACACCTTCATTTTGTTCAAATCATGTTTAAATTATCAGACAAAATTTCTTATGTGTAAAATGTGCCAAAGTTTTGGACAGAATTCTCCCAGTGTGATGTCATGATTATGTTTAGAACTCTTCCTGTAATTTCCAACATATTTTTCAACTTTTCTTCGCACGCTGCGTCTTGACTTCTGTAAAACTGTAATTTATATTTACAACAGATATTATCCAACCAAATTAAGTGTAAATTAGAGAATCACTTTCCTGAAAGTTACAGTATTTTCCATGTGCGTAGGGCTGAGAGAGAGGAGCGTTTGGCGCGTGAAGCAGAGGAGCGTCAGCGGCGAGAGGAGGAGGCCCGAGCCATGGCTGAGGAGCAGCGAAAGAGAGATGAAGAACAGCGTCTACAGCAGGAGAAGGAGGCTCAGGAGAAGGCCAAAGCAGAAGAGGAGGAGAACTTACGACTCCAGAAACTAGTATGAATCATCTGTAAAAAGAACATTTTAGCAAGAGTCCTGTCTGTGGATTTAATTAGTTTCTATAACCTTGCACCAGCATCTTTCCTATGACTTTTGTCTTGGTTAATGTATTGTTGTGAATTGTCCCTATATAAACAAAAAGCACACCATACCATATAAAAAAATCTCTCAGATCTCCCATTTTTATAAAGAAATTGCACACATGATAAATATTGAACCCCAAATATATGGTTCCAACTTTCATGCATTGAAAAATAAGTCAATATAGTAATTATCATGACAGTCTTATAAGTAATATTACTGTCCTCACTCAAAACAGCCATGGCACTGTTCCCTGCATATTGTCACATGCTGGAAGACAGAACGCCTAGAGACAAATATAACATAAGCTCTCTCCATTGTCACAGATAAAGCACCTGTCGGGTTAAAGGTCAAGACAAGGACACAAGCCTACACACTGCTATCTTTAACTCAGATAAGAGCCTGTAGCTATTTTAATGCACCCTGTATGCTGGCCACTACTTGCAGTCATTCTAAGCTTTTTAATTTAACTAATAATATTCAGTGACAAGATTCTTTCTGCATCCTGTCAGGGTTTTTGGCAAATATAGTATTATATTACTAGATTTCTGCAATAGTCTTGTCTGCTGCATTTACCCTATGCTGCCCCCATGTGGTCTGTTACAAAATTGACATATGTGATCGATTGTATAAGAGTGTATAATTGTTCATCTGTTTAAGTTTAGAGTTACTTTTCAAATCAAAGTGTGTCAAAAATAGCACATTTGAATAAGAATAGTCTATAGAAGAACTGTAACAATAACTGGACCACAGAAGCACTACCACACCCATGTAACGTAAAAGGCTTGCTATTTTGGCTGACTGTTTTTTTCCCACTGTGCCGGAATTATAAAGTTGTGGTTGGATTTTTGTGTTTTCAGAAGGAGGAGGCTGAAGCTCGGGCCCGTGAGGAGGCGGAGAAGCAGCGTCTGGAGAGAGAGAAGCACTTCCAGAAGGAGGAGCAGGAGAGGCTGGAGAGGAAAAAGGTACGGCACATCACGCTTTGGCCATACTGGTTTAAAGGTGCATCATGCAACTTTTCTGCTGGAGGGTCCGTCTCCATGGAGATGCTATTGCTTTGCCTAGAACAGGGGTCTCCAACCTTTTTCCTCCGGTGAGCTACCTTTACAAAATGAAAATGCGAGCTACTAATTTTAGCAGTTGCAAGAAACTGAGTATGTATAAGAGCCACAGTAAGCCATACATGGGGTGCAGTTAGATACTTATAAAACATAAACCATTGTCCATTTATTAACAACAACATGAACAACAAAATTAGATATTTGCAACGGTAATATTTATTTTCATTTACTGTAATCAAATGTTAGTTATTCAGCACAATTTGTTTAATTCAGAAATCTTTTGGCGAGCTACTTGAAAGGGTTGGCTACCGGTAGCTCTAGAGCTACAGGTTGGAGAGCCCTAGCTTAGAATGTTCCATGGTTAGGCATTAGACACATCTATCTAGCATTTATTCATTACGTGTTTCTATTGCACAAAAATACAATACTTTCTTTGTGAATTGGGTTGCCTCTCCACAGATCTGACCTGTGCTGTAACCTATAGTAGTCTCCCTTGACCGTGGAACATTGTAGACAAAGCAATAGCATCTCCATGGAGACAATCTGGTGATGGACACTTCAGAAAAATTCCACAATGCATCTTTGGCATTGGTTATTATGTCTGAAAAGAAGTAAGTCTAGTTCTAAGTCTGGGCAGTGAATTCAATCTCCAAAGTGAATGTTGCAGTTTACAAGCCTTTAGCAGCGGTATTAGGTTCTGGTCCGTGGCTGACATGACAGCCGTGAGTCCCTGAAACCAAGATGAACGATGTATTTAGCTTATCCAGGATGAGCTGTCTGCATGCCATAATTTAATAGGATATTAAGACCACTAGCGTCAAGCTAAATATAAGCAGTCATAATGGAAGTCTCTCAGTACTGATTCCTTTACATGCTCGAGTAGTTTGGTGACCATCTCCTTCAAAGCACACCACCCACCCACTCACTCAACAATTCTTTCCCCTCCTCTCATCTTCTCTCCATGTGCAAAAAGGAGTCATATCCAGCATGCCAATGCTAGCTCCGCCAACCACAGTCTGGCTCTGTGCCGGAATTAGCCCGCTAGCACATCATGTCCTCTGCCGAAAGTCTTTGCAAAGCTCTGATTATCATTTTGCAAAGAGATGGAACCAGCTAGGTCTGTCATGATAACAAATTTTAAAGCACTTTATATAATTGTAAAGTTAATATAGATGATAAACAATAATATTGAAACTAATTTGTGCCACTGATACAGTAACTCTACAGCTCTACAAAACCTATTTTAAATATACAATCTAGTAACAAAAACACAAAATTCAATAAAAATAATTGCATAATTACTTAAAGGTGCACTATGTAATTTTCTGGTTAGGGGTCCATCACCTTATTTAGATTTCTTTGGTGTCTAGGGATATGTAATTGATTTCAGATGTTCCACTGTATGACACTACACAGATGTACCTTACATTTATTCAATTACAGGTGGTTTTATTGCATAAAAATACCCACATCTTAAGTAGGATTGCCTCTCCACAGATCTGACTTGTAATTTGACCTGGTTTGGTCTCCATGAAGGTAGAAAGGTTGAATACCATACTGTGAAACATTTCATGCAAAGCAATAACAGCTCTATGGAGAAAAGCAGGTGACAGACCACCCACCAGAAAAGTTACACAATGCACCTTTAATTAGTTTGTGTCTCTAATGACCCATAGAAGTTGTTTGTTCAATCCTCCACAGGTCAAATCTAATCATAGTACAGAAAAATGCCAAGATCTTTCCCAATACAAAGAAAAAGTCCCCATGATAAATAACCCCCAAAATATACTGTTCCATCTAACATATTGAATGATAAGTTGATATAGTAAGTATAGTGACAGGCCTAAAACCAGCAAGTCAACACTTCAACTTAAGTTTTATAAAGCAGACTACATGCCAAAAGTACTGAGTATTATGTGGCTAAACATCTTGGATCTTAAAAATGCTTTTCTTTTATGAGTGGCAGCTGCACTTGTGGTTCTCTGTCCTCAAGTAAAAGTCACGCTTTGTTTAAATGTTGTTCCTCTTGCAAACAAATAAAGCATGGAAAACATACAATAGAGCTCTGTTTAAAGGTGACAGATAGGTATGCTCTACAGGCAGCCTACTCAAATATACAGGCTCTAGTTTAGTCAATCAGCAACCCTAATTCAAAACATACGGCTTGGATAACACCAGAAAGCATGTTGCAACAGATTAACATGGATTAATTGTATTATTTGGGGAAGGGTGAAATACTGTTTCCAATATCGGGGCTTCCCAGATATCAGTATCAGTATCGGCATCGGTCAGATTGAGCAGATATTCAGCACATGGTAATAATTTGCTCAGTGCATTCAATTTGTCTGAACTACCAAAAACAAGAGTAAAATTGAAAACAGATATGGAAAACATACAACTTTTTTTTGTTACCAAATATTTTTTTGTTTTTGTTTTTTCATAACTGCGAAACAATATATAAACAAACATATGACAGATCCAGCACCAAAATAATAAAAGATTAGTCCACATCTGTACACCACATTAAACTTAGACAAACTTATATACTTTAACCACTCAACTGCCTATCTAAACCTCACAGTAAATGTGCATTGTGTAACTTTTCTGATGGAGAGTCCATCAAATGCTTTTCTTCATGAAGATGTTATTCCTTTGTCTGGAATGTTTCACAGTATGATATTAAACCTTTATTTCTTCATGGAGATCAACCAGACAAAGTTACAGGTCAGGTCTATGGAGAAGCAACACCGCTCACAGTCAGAATGCCTCTTTTTTAAAGTATTTTTGAGCTATAAAACCAACTGTAATTGAATAAATGTAAGGTATAGCTGTTTAATGTCATACCGTGGAACATTCCAGGCAGAGCAATGTCATATCTATTAAAACAAGCAGGTGACTGACGCCCCAAGCAAAAAGTTACATAGCGTACCTTTAAGATCATATCCTGTTTGGTTCCAGAGATAGTATAGAATTCCAGAGATAGTATAGAACAGTTATTTTTTGGCACTATGCATGCGCGCTGTGATTAATTTTAAATAAGCATCAATAAATGACAGTACCCATTGGTGGTGAGATAAAGAATAAGAATAAGAATCTCCATCTGACAGCATGGATATGTATATTATTATGTCTTATTGACATCAGTCTCCTGCTGTTTTTGCTACTTATTTAGAATTCAGTATTACCATAGATTTTGATCTTTTTGGTCAAAGTCTAAGTTAAGCCAGCCACAAAACTTTTTTTGCTAGCAACAAATAATCTTATATCATGGAACAGTAAAGTTAATTTGCAGACTTTACTAAATAAATTTGTGAATTTTTTTATTGGCATAATCTGCCTCAGCAGCAATGCAAATAATGGATATCGCTATTGACTCCTTATTGGCCCACTCCTAGTATTATTTTAAAATTATTGCTCATCTTGATTTTTCTTTTGTTGTGTTTGCAGCGTCTGGAGGAGATAATGAAGAGGACGCGTAAGACAGACGGCGGTGACAAGGTATGAGTCTATCTTACATCTGTTTAAAGCAGGGGGGGTCCAAACGTTTTTCATCAAGGGCCACATACCAAAGCACAGATGAAGCGGAGGGCCTACAGAGGGCCATAGTCTGGTGGTCAGTGCAGTGAATAATTGAAATATGTATATTTATAACAGTTTAGAATGAGCCACCAGAGCTGTATTCATGTTTAGATGTTGCAGTCTAGAGTTAATTTTTTAAAGTAAATAACTGTAACATGAATATATTTTTGCAGTCCAAGTCACCTGCAGCTGCCCCAGTCTCTAACAAGGATGAAGAAAGCAGCAAAGGTACTCACTTTACTTCTTGTACACAATGTGATTATCATTCTACTCCAGCCTTTAATCTACCCAAATTGTTTCCTGTAATTGACTTAATTTAAGCCACCTCTCTAGCCGTATTTGGTTACCATGAATCTAGACCTACTCTCAGCAAAATATAAACACTGTGGGGAAAAGAAGAGGAATCTCTAATGTTATGTTACTTAAAGGTGCATTGTGTAACTTTCCTGTTGGAGGGTCCGTCAGATGTTTTCTCTATGTAGATGTTTTTGCTTTGTATGGAATGTTTCACAGTATGTTATTAAACCTTTCTATCTTCATGAAGACCAAACCAGACGAAGTTACAGGTCAGATGTGTGGAGAGGGAACCCCGTTCACAGTTAGAATGCATGTTTTTCTTGGTACTTTTGACTTATAAAACTGCCTGTAATATAATAAATGTAAGGTAAAGGTGTTTAATGTCATACTGTGGAAGAGCAGTGACATATCCATAGAAACAAGCAGGTGACAGACCCCCAGTGAAAAGGTTACGCAGTGCACCTTTAAACCAGCTCTGCAGCCATATTGGGTTATAAATCTAGACCTTCTCTCAGCAAAGATACACTCTCGGGAAAAGAAGAGACATCTCTAGCGTTATGTCACTTATTATGTGTTGAGTGGCTTCTGATCTCTTCCATGTGTGAGGATAAACAAGTCTCTCTTCTTTTGTGGTTCACAGTGGGACAGATACCATGGGCATTTTGCAAAATCAAGTTATTAAAAATATCTATGCCTCATTTCCTGTCCAGCTGCACATTGAGCTTTTCTATTCCATTCACAATAGAATCCATGTGTGTGTGTTTTGTACAAACTGTGGGAGACCAGGGGGGTGTACTTCTCTTCTCTCTCTAATCCAGAAACTTGTGTTGATATCATAATCACATATTTACTTCAGACACTACTATACAGCTTAGAAAAGTAGGGCTGCAAGGTTAAGGGTCCTATATTAAGTAAAATTAACTCTTGTGTCCTTTAAGCCAAGTTAGATGACTTTTTGCATTGACATTGGTAGGGCATATTTTCTAAGAACACCTTGTTTTTTCATAGAGCTTTTGAGGTGCATGTATGTATTGTGTTGTATATAAACATCACCTAAATATTATCCATTAAAGGTCCCATATTACAGCATTTTCTGATCTATGTTAAAATGTTGTTTTTTCATCAGAAACATACCTGGAATTGTGCTTTTATTAAAAGGGCCCATCTCATGCAAAATCAACTTTTCAGAGCTTTCTACCTTCTAAGAGTGATGTGTGGGCCTTGTATATGTAGCCGAAGTGGTTTTTAGATGATTCGGTGTTTTTTTTAACAAATTGCTGCGTATTTCTTCCACCCTCCCACGTGACAACAAACTAAAGCCTGCCCCAATGATGACGCAGCCAGCTACACCTATGAAGCGCAACCCCCTCCCTGCTCCACCGCCTCCACCTTGCCTCCATCGCGCATCGGCTGACAATTCCCACATGAACACCTCAACAAAAGCGACAGTATAAGCTAATTGTTCTACACTGCAGTGTACACGATATAATACATTTATCTACTAGTGTTTATTAATACTTCACCAATCAGTAATGTTCATCTGATGCCGACGTGGTGCTTGCGCTTCGTGCACCTCAAAGTCCTCATCTGATTCCGGGTCCAACACTTAAGGCTGAACGCGCTGTATTGCCATGATAAATAAAAGTTTATTCCTACTGCTATGAGGGTGCACGCCTGTCTCCCCCTCTCTCCCTGAGATGGGTGGAGGAAGGGCGGCTCACTCGGAGCCTGTCACGTTTGGAGGGCAGAGCCTGTGCTTTCTCAGGACAGGCAGGGGGATGAGCAATAGCCGGTCTTTCAGAGTACCTAGTCTGTGACTGCCTCCAAGAAATCAATAAGATCTCATAACTGTTGTGTAATGGATGTTCCAAAATGCTAATTGTGCTTGTATATGTGCATAAGATACAATGTGAAAAGAGTTATTTTGCATGAGAGATGGGCCCTTTAAATTACACATATTTAGCACACAAAACCTGCATATGTTCCACATTGTGATGTCATGTGGTAATATAGGAAGTGCTTCATTGTGCATTTGAACTCACCTTCACTAGAATCATTTGGATAATTTCAGCTCTGGGAGTTCCACTTTCTACTTCAAAAAATTGTCAAAGGTAGCTCTTAACTTAAAAACTACAACTTCATGACATTGCAAGGTGGAACAGAGCATTTTGAGCTTTGCAGATGTAGACAAATAACAAAGGGGTACTCGTGTGAATGGAACAAAACACAACTCCAGGTGTGTTTTTGATGAGGTAACAACATTATAACATGTCTTAAAGCTCACAAGAGTCAGTTTTGTGTTATATAGGCCCTTGAAGGTTTAAACAGCTGATGTTTCAAGTAATTCCATTATTAGTGTCTCTGTCTGTGCGGTATCTTGCTGCTGAAAAGTGGGTGATCTGACAAAATGCTGGTTGAAGCAAAATCCACAAATGCAGGAAGACATTAGGTTCCTCTGATGTGGTGAATGGTCTGGGAGCTGGCTTCATTTCTGGTGCATGGTGTGGAGCTGTGCCTTAACCACACTCTTACCCTCTGCAGCTCTGAATCAGGGGCCCCCTCCAGGATAATCAAACACAATGGAGCTTTCAATGAAGTACAGTGTCGAAGTATGTTTTATATTCTGTTTATTTTCATAGCATCTGCAGATTATCAGCCAAAGACGGAAGTGAATGTGCCCAACCACAAGGCTGAGAACGGACAGATGTCTGAGCCTGAAAGGTAAAAGCTGCTTCTCAGTAGTAGGATTGAATCATAACTGACTACTAAAACAACTGTTGATATTTTATACCATGTCTTTTAGTCAGCATTTTTTTTTTTCTATCTTATGCCATCAACATTCTCTGGGGGTGTGATGCTGTTTGTAGACACTGCTCTGTCTGAAGCTCTGTTACTCAAATTATACTTTAATCTGATCTTTGTTGACCTTGATCTTTGACACAATCTGACCATAAAGAACTGACTTAGCTGGAACTACTTCTGGTGAGCTGATTTGTGCTGTTAAACAAGTCGATCACGTAAAATTACAGTCACAATGTAGCTAGCCAGTTAAAAATAAAAACCAACAGTTTTTCAGTTATTCTCTCTCACATTTTGTTAAAAATCAAACACCTAAACAGGACCATGAACACTCTAATTGATCACAGGCTCTTGAAAATGTGCTGTTTAAATGAATTTTGTATTTATTTATTTATTTTTTGTTTGTTTGTTTTCAGGCCGTCTTAAAACTTTTGCCTTTAAAATTGTATTTTTAAAATATCAATGTAGTACTTAAATAATTATTTGACTAGTCAGCAAATAAAAAAAAATAACAAAGTGCTGACTAATTTGCTGCTAAAATAATCATTAGTTGCAGCCCTAATGTAGATTGCTTTGTTCCTCAATGGAAAAGTAATACTCACACTGGGTTTGCTCTTATGTTTCTTCATGAACTCATTTTGTTCCTGCAGAGAATGACTCACTGGCTAACCACAACTATAACCATGCTTTTCTCTTCACTAGCTCCCCAGTCAAAGCGGTGAATGGGGTCCAGCCAACTCGACAAGAAAATGGGCTAACTACTAAAGAAGATTCTGCCCATTTTGAAGAGATTATTCAACTGGCCAATCATGGAAACACAACCAATGGAGGGCTTGAGAAATCAGACAGCAGCATTGTCTCCAAACCCATCCTGGCCTTTGACAGTGATGAGTCCTTCTTGAAAAAAGCAAGCGTCATGAAGCCTCAGCATGTGACAGGTAGAGTTCAGTAGAGCAATACACAAGTCCCATAAATAAAGCACAATTATAATAGGAATTATAAAAGATACAGGAAAGCCAAAAGTACTTATTTGGCTGCTTTGTTCAGTCATTTTGTGGTGAAACATTTTGCTGGTTTTATGTACTGGAGTTTTGGGGTTTCAGTTCCAGGTAATACTTCACCTTAAGTGAGGTTGAGTTTTAATTTGAAAGATGAATTTGAAGAAAAACATTTTTAGGCCTGTCTCAAATCACACAGATTAAAATCTGCAACATGATCCATATGCCACTTTATTTTATCTTTATGATCTGCACTGGTTTAATGTCCTGTTCACATTACCAATAAAAGGTGCATGGCAAGCCTCCATAGTCGAGCTGTAGTCCTTGACATGAAGTGACAACAGTCCTGGGGTTGTAGAGCATCTTCCATGCAGGTTCTCACCCTTGTGAGGGCTATACCCCCTGAGGGCACCTGGCATCTGCATTTAAAGCTTCACACGGAACATGGAGGAAATAGTGCAGAGGAAGAGGATGAGGGGCCGATATCTTGGCATTGATGACAGCTTTTACTCAGCGGTCCCACTAACTCGGGCCTGTGGCCAAGATGGGAATTCCAAGAATGTCAGAGGTGATGAGGAGACTTTCCACAAGTGCTCTGCAGCCAGGGGTCAGAAATACAACCCGAAAGTAATTACGCACTATATGAATCCACACAAGCCCCCCCTACCCAAAGGCAGCGTCAGCAGCACACTACTCCCACCGGTTAAGATTTAGGAGCTAAAGCTTAACCGTCACCTATTAGTCTGAAGACAAGCCAATGTCATAAATCTTATTTAAAACAAACATTAAATGCTTGTGGCAGAAGCATAAACCACCAAAAAAAAAAAGTCCAAATGTCACAATCCCTTTTTGAATCAGATATGGGTTTAGTCAGTGAGCTTTAGTTGAAAATAAAACTACTGAATTCTATGAGATGTCAATCTTTAATTATTAATTAATTGGCCCATGTTGTTAAATAATAATATTATAATAATATTTAACACTAGTTCAGTTTACAGTTTGGCTGTAAACAAAGCCCCGCTTTCTAATGTTAGTTTGATTTAGACTCAGTGATTGTGACCTCTGACCCCTGCTCTCTCCACAGAGGTGCTGTGACTGTGGTGTTGAAGTGTTGTCCTCTTTAGACTGGTCCGGGCTCACACAGGACGTCCTGTGAGCAGTGCCAATCGTCAGAGACACATTCTCTGGGAGCAGAGAGACAAGTGCAAACAAAAGGAATCAGTGTACAGAGGCATCACCGCAGAGTGACCGCTCATGGACCTTTCACTCTCATTAAATGTACACTAAACATTGGACTGACGTACTGTCCCTGAACATTATTTAAGTCAGAGAGACGACTGGGTACATTTTGTGAATAAATGTAAATGCTCTTTGTACCAGACAGATATGAGGGAAGTGTTAATAGAATCATGTTGTAAACAAGATTTGTTTTGTTACCATACTTAGTATTTTATTTGAGCCCTGGTGTTACACACACTGGTGTGTATAAAGCTTTATCTCACTGAAATCGTAAACAAAGAAAGGACAAGAAATGAACTCTAATGTGTAACTTACTGTGTGGAATGTAAATTCACTGTATCACATAAAACAGGCTGATTCTTCACTCATTTTCACTGAATAATGTTGGAAATACTTCTGTGTATATGCTCTAAAGATATTTTAATGTGTGCTTCACAGTCATTTGGAGAATTAAGCTCATTAAAGACTAGCTGTCCAGTCTGCTTCATTTTGTTGTCTCACGTTAGATTTATTTTTTTTTTTGCTTTCAAATGAGCCCAAACATTCAAACAGATGTTCTACATTCATGGAGGCTCATCTCTCTCAGGTTTATGAATCCAAAACACACTAAATCAATCACAAAGTCTGTGTTTGGGGAAATGTCCCACTTGAGTGATCTGAAGCAGTGGTCAGTTTTCTGGAGGAAGAGCTCATGATGACAGACCTACAGGACGGTGCACGCTAACTACAGCACTACAGTTTTAGAGCCCCTACTAAAGGCCATCACAGTTGATAGCAAAGCATGTAAGATAGCTCCACTATCCATTTCAGGGAGTCTCCACTTACTGACTCTCTCCAGGGGGTAATGCTTCTCTGCTGCTCTGTGCTCCTCTGTTTTCTGGGAGCTCGGGGTGCTCTGGCACTCACTCAGTGTTTCCAGGGCTCCGAGCAGCTGAAGTGGGCTTCAACCACGATTTAAGTTACCTTAACCAAATACCACGTGCCATTCCAGTCAGTGGGGGCGACTTATAAATGTCTTACTACTGGCCAGGCCTGAAGGTTCATTGGTTAATAACAAGTGCATTAAAGAGGATGATAATGTCAAATACTTTAAACATTTTTATAATGATGTTGATTTATTTTACACAGTATGAACTTGAAACAAAAAGCTACTTAATTTTTTGTTTAACTCTATGAGACCAGCTATTATAAAACATTTGACACATTTTCTGGCTTCAATAAAGTAATACTAAGTTACACAACTGAACACTACATGAAAGGTGATCGCATAAGCTCCAAAAGTCGTAACCAGTCATAATTAAATGATTGCTGAGGCAGGTGGTCTAACAGCTGCCACTGTGATCACAGACGAAAAGGAAGCCCTGCTTTAAATGGTTCTTCATAGATTAACAAATGCTGACTGAAGTGTTTTTATTGCTTAAATTCATTTAAACATATACTCTCTTTCTGTGAACTGGACTGCCTCTCCATGGATCTGATCTGTGACTATGCCTGGTGACATCACCTGTTTGTATCTGTGATTTGTTTCCAGATGAGTGATGATAAATGATTCAGATTATGTAAAGTCAGCTTTTTTGACCTTTTTAGCATGATATAACGGTGTTCACAATTACACAGAATAATTTGATTCAATACACCCATACAGTGTATTGACATGCAAACATGCTGTAATTCTGCTTCAGTTGTAGATCAGACCAAAGAAGATGAACATTCATTTTCATTACATTTTTAATTCAGAGCAGCCAGTCCTGACAGAGACAGATAGAGTTCCCTGAACTGCTTAGAACAGGGGTTCTCCACCTTTTTCCTCCGGTGAGCTACCTTTACAAAACAAATATGCCAGAGAGCTACTCATTTTAGGGACCGCAAGAAGATTATAAGAAAGACTGCAAGCCTTGGGGTATCGTTAGATGTCCATAAAACATAAACCATTGTCCATTTAATTTTTACACAATGTTGGGCTTCAAAATAATACATTTACAACAGTAACAGGCATGCAGTTAACCAAATTTTTGTTATTCAGCAAAATCATTCATTTCAAAATCCTGGTAGCTCCTGAGCTACAGGTTGGAGACCCCTTGGACCTTATTTTAAGGTCTTTAATCAAGTGCATTTCTTGCCCTGTTTTTATATAATTTTCTATCCAAATTCTATTTAAATATTCAATGTAATGTGTGAGGGTCTATTGGCACAGACTACCCTAGGGCACCTATGTCTGTAATGTAAATTCCTCTGTTCTGTAATTAGCCTAAATAACATGATTGTTGCAATGTACTGCTGACCATATTAACCATAATAATTAAAACAACATAAATAACCTTCCCTTTGCCATATATAGAGCTGAGTTCCTGTTTCTTCATGTATGTCATGGTTGGTCTGATTTTGTAATGGATCAAGGAGTTCACACTTTTGATGTTGTGGCTCACACAGTCTGCAGTTATGAGCTCTCGTTAGAGTCCCCAGCAGAGGGAGCAGCACAGCAGCCCAGATGTAACTGCATATCAATACCTCCAGACTCCAGCTGCCCCATAAAAGTGTTCAGACTCAAACCTCATCTAAATCTATGTATCACAGGCCTTTATTGAACCTAGGTGACTGGCTGCCTTCAGAGTGGTTGGTGTGGGAGCACGTTATCATAATGCATGGTGCTTCTCTGAGGCGATTTGAGGATTAGGGGGCACTATTTTTAGGGAGGTGCCTGAGAAGGGAGTTCACTGCAGCGTCTGTAGTGCCAAGCCTGTGTCTTGATTCACACTGAATAAGAAGCAACAAGAAGAAAGTGGTGATCTGCAAAGTGTGTATAACTGTGACTGATATGTTCTCTACTATGTCCAGTGCAGTGTGTCTCACTAATGCTAACTGTCCAAATACACAGGGCCAGACAGCTGTGCTATCTCCCACTATTAAAGGTCCTTGCTCCTGACGACTGAGAATGATTTATTCTACTACTATTTTCTTATCAGATAAAAGAACCAAACAAGGCCACTCTAAATTCAGACAGACATGGGAAGCAGAAGAAGAAAGGAAGACAGGAAGACATTAGTTTTTTGTGGCAAATATCTAGGTCTGGACCATAGAATGTATCTAAAAATGGACATAGCTAACCCGTTAGCCGGCTCTATCAGCTCAGTTCACTTTGTACTGAAAAAAATATCACCCCTCTTTCTGTAACTGCTGCTGTCAGGCTCCTCATTTTTGTCTTAAAATGTTTGTATTAACCCATTGTACATGATCCATGTGTTTTTATTTAACTATATTGTCCGTAAATATATCCTTATTTCTAATATGAAACTCAACTCCAAATTCACCCCATAACTGCTAGCCTCATGAGCTTCATTTGACTTGGTCCAAACGCTAAGAGTGATGTCACACTCCCTTAGTCCACTTCCTTATACAGTCTATGGTCTGGACTGGACTCATGCTAAATTCTGCTACATGTTTTAAAACTGCCAAAGAGGGCACATGCTACTTTAACAACCTGCAACAGTGTTGTAGCTAGTGAAATAAATTGTTGTTTTGTGTTCGTATCAGCTTTTACAGTCACAATAATAATCAGTCGCTAATTATATAAAATAATTCTAATTCTAATTCAGTCTTTTTCCTCTGCTCTAGAAATTGTCTATCTTGACTTGAGTCAACAGGGATGTTCTATAGTGATGTTACTCATAAACTGTATAAAGAAGATGACTAAGGGAGTGTGATGTCACCCGTAGTGTTTGGCTCCAGTCAAATGAGCCTCATGATGCTCACGGTAAAAGGAGCTAATTTGGACCCAAGTTTCATATTAGGAATAGGAATTTATTTACAGACAAAATAGCAAAATGAAAACACCAGGATCATGCAGAGCGGGCTAATACAAACATTTTAAAACTGAAATGACAAGTCTGACAGCAACAAGTATGGAAAGAGGGGTGACCATTTTCAATGTAATGTTCAATGGAGCTGGAAGCGCCTCCATGCTCACTTCCTATTTGGAACACGATGACTAGCGGATTAATTATGTCCATTTATATATGCAGTCTATGATTTCACTGTACTGCTGATCAGATTTGAGCTGTAGAGGTTTGAATAAATAACTTCTATGGCAAATTATTGGTTCATTCTGCCATTTATTTGCGATCTTTTTCATGATACTGATTCTTTAAAAATGGGTTTACCAGGATTATCCTGCTTTGTGTTAGTGGTATAATGTAGTTTCAGTATATATTGTTTATCACAGTATATCTCTGTAGCATAATAGCGGCAACCACACTGGAGTCACAACTTCCTGTTCAATTGTATCTCTTTGAGGTTTTTGCTGAGTCATGCTAAAATTAATACATATTTAATTTAATTTAATTAGATGTTAAAAAGTGCACAAATAAAATGAATACAAAAGAGGACACTTCTTTATTTTTAGAAAGAGAGATGTTTGTGTCTCATTGCTAATGCTAATGCTAATTTTGAGTCATAATAAAAATTAAAACAACGCTACAAACTTCAAAATAATTGGGTATTTTTTAAAATTTTAATCAATTAGAATTTTAGAAGGTAGTTTATTTTATGTTTTAAAGTGACTGTTAGCTTTGAGACACAATGAGCGAGTGTGCTGATGTGCACAGAGCCTATATACTGGGCTTCAAAATGTATTATCGTGACATGATATGGTATGATAATGGTAAAGGACATCCTCCCCACCACAAATTAGCTGTTGTTTCTTTCGTATATTTTTGCACCCAAGGACGCTGGGGAATCTGTAAATGTCAGTGAGCGGCAAGTGTCCCTGTTTGGCGTCCATTTTTAACAATGTGGGGGTCAGAGTGAGGCCACTTCAGATAAGACCACCACCGCTGAAGCTATGCGCACATCACAACCATCAAAGCCCCTAAAGTACTGCCTCCTCCCAGTGTTTATGCCCCCGGTTCGTTCTACGTTTGAGAGTTTTATCTGCTCAGCAACAGCCCCTCTTCAGGCAGCTGCTCTCACATGGCAGAAATGAAAGGCCAAACTGTGAGGCTCTCCCCTGATCCCTTTTCCGAAGCGGTACAAGCTCTCAACAATCCCCCTGAGAGATGCTAAGGTTTCAGTGCTACCCCTTTTTCAGTCTTCATTACACTTATGGTCAAGGGCGACGCCAGGGGGGGCTTGACGGGGCACTAGGCTCACCTAAACTGGCAAATGCACCTCCATAGCTCCCCCCCAAATTTTTGTCATTCAATCTCAGCGAAAAATTTTCAAATGGCAAACGCAGTGGGAGGAGGAGACTACAGTACAACAATAAATCCATTTTAGGTTTTAAAAATCACTACAAGGTGTTAACTACATTTAACACTGCATTGTGTAACTTCTGGTGGAGTATCTGTCACCTGCTTGTTTCTATGGAGATGTCATAGAAACAAGCAGGTCTGCCTTACATTTATTCAATTACAGGTGGTTTTATAGCTAAAAAATACCTATAAAATTCTGACTGCGAGCGGGGTTGCCTCTCCACACATCCGACCTTTATCT